CCATGCTGCTGGGTTTACATCTGAGAGGAAGAAGAAGAAGAAGAATCCTTGTTTGCCCACTGAGTGATTTGCCTATGACCGCCTTACGAGGGCCGACTGAATTTTCTCCCGACGTAACGATTCCTGATGGGGAGATGGCGTTAGAGGCTGATCGTACCCTTATTATCCCCTGTTCACTACACCACACACCATCAGGCTGAAAGTCGACCTGATCGAAAAATTCTTGCACGACTGGAGAATCGGCCCGAAAAGGGCAAAAAAAAAAATCGTGGCGTATGCCCCGACATAAGCGGTACAGATGGCCCCAGTATTCAAGGTGAGACAGTCAGTAGGAAAGTTCAAAATGTTTATTAAAACAAACATAAAAGACTCAGGTTTTGGGAGAAACACGGGTAAGTGACCACCATCATCTGAACAGGAGATGATTATCAGAGTGAGTCACTTACCTGGTTTAACAAGTCAGTCCATCCTCTCAATAATGGGCCGGGGGTTCCGATCCACACAGGATCCAGCTCAGAAAGAAAAGCACCTGGGAGGCAGAATCCAGCAGGAGTCCAACCGTGGTTCAGGCGAACAGATCAGGCAGGGACAGACAGGGCCAGTGGGTGAGAGGGAACAGAATCAGGAAGACAGAACCTGGACGGAAACGTTGAAACGCTCTCACCACTGGTTATGGAATAACTTGCCTGAGGACACTGGCTAGAAAATAAACTCCTGCCTGGAACATGAACCTTGGAAATGACTAAAACTAAGCAAACGGACAGACAGGACACTGACAGAAGGCAAACAGGAAACAATGATCTGGCCCTGATAGCTGGAACTGAGCCCAATATAAGGGAAACTGGCAGATGGATGAGATGAATGATAATTAGGAGCTGGACAGAGTAAAGCAGGTGAAAGGGATGAGTAATTAAGGTCAGCTATCAGGGCAGATCATGACGGGCCCCGCTTTAGGTAATAAAATAGGGATGGGATCTATTTCACTTTGTCAGAACCTAACTAAAAAATAAAAAAAAAAGCTTTACTTTTTTACCAAAAGTTAATTATTCAGCTTTGGCACACATTAAAAACCAAGCAGAGGAACAGAGTGGAAGCAGAGAACACATCTGATCAAAGCTGCTCAGGAATCATGAATGATGAAAACAAAATAAAACTAGATGAATAAGATGCCAAAGAAATGCGCAAGTTCAAAAAAAATTATATAAATTCTTTTAATTCTATAATAGGTTATTGAGTATTGTGTATGGCTGAAGGCGTACACAAGTCAAAAAAGGTTGGGAAACATTGCTGTAAGGAAGAACAAAGATCATGGAGCTAAATAAAGAGCAATCCTGGAAAAACTCTGTGAAGAGCTGCAAAATATTTGAAAGCAGGATGCAGCTTCCAGCATGGCGACACGAAACACTCAACCAGAGCTACAACGGCTCAGATCAAGGCTTTCACATGGTTTGGATTGGTCTTATTAGTCCAAAATTCTCTTTGAAAAATCAAAATAAAAGGTCTTTGCAGATGTTCTTTATCCTTTCTGACTGTACACCAGGTATCAGACCAAACCGTCCAACTGCAGAAATGCAAAGCTGGTAGATACATACCCTCAATGTGCAGGAAAAACTGTTTTTATTTGCTTTACTACCTGCTTTTATCTGGTTTTATATCTTTACTTGCTTTATTTTGCTTTTATTTTACTGTTTAATTCATTTAAAGCACTTTGATTTATATTTGTGCTGAATTG